TAGTTGATCTGATATCATATTTTTAGAGTATCATTTTTATTGGTCTGTTTTGGTCAAATAGTGCTCTGTGCCTTTAACAATGTGCACTACACATACTGATTTGATGTCTTCAATCCTGCCTTGAAGTCCCTGGAGAATCTCCTCTCTCTCAGTGGTACTCTCAGGGTATGCAAACGTCTGTGTGTGGAAACTGTGAGAAGAGGAAATCAAAACATATCCAACAGGTTCAGCAGATACTGTCGAGTGGAGATCTACAATGAAAAGCGATGTGAGTGATGCACAGGTTTACCCACCAGTCACATATCTTCTTCACTTTCTGTCCGATCTGATCTCCCCAATAGGAGATGAGGAACACCGTCCACTGCACCATTTCCCCCTGCAAAACAAAGAAGCAGAAAACAGCTGTGATAAAAAAAAGAAACATAAAAAATGACTGCAGAAATAACTCCCATATCTATCTCTCAACCATGACCCCCTATCTCTGTCTCCCAGTTCCCACCGTCTCTGGGTGCTCCAGACGATCCTCCATTTCTCTGAAATCCACTATGATATAACCGCGACACGCTCGCCATAACAACCGCTCAAATGAGGGGACCTTCCAAGGATGGACCACTCCTGCCACAAAACTGAGACAGAGGAGATGCAGAGATACACGTGTTAAATGTAGATAAAAACACATAATGGGCATTTTAGGAAAGGAGATTTACCTGAGGCGGACATCTTGGCGGTGATCGAACAAGCCTTGGCTTTCCAGCATAGGTGGAGGTGCCTGCGAGATGAAGCCAAAAGGGGAAAAAATTTTCTTTTTGTAGCTTATGTTTGCTCATTACAGCACAATACTTAAAGAAAAGATAATGATGATGATGCAGGACTAGTTGAAGATGTAGCATTCCCACCTGTGAGGCTGTGAGAGAGTGCGTCCTGGTCAGGACTCCTCTGTACTGACAGAGCTGGGTCATCTGAGCCCGGAGGCTGTCTCTGTTCCTGGAAACCTAGTGAGACGAACAGTGCAAATAAATTAAAAGAAAAAAACTACCTCAGCCTCTTTTGTCAGTGTACTAATAAGACTTTGATTTATCATCTCAGCCTTGTCTTAAGCACTCACCTCTTTGAGCTCTCTGGCCAGCCTCTCACATTCCTCCTCTATGGTGATGAGCTCTCGGGGCTGAGGGGCCAAAGGTATTGGGCATGGAGGAGGGAGGGGACACTGCAAGGGTGGAGACAAGGAGCGATTGATCTCCTGCTCCAGGAGGGCTAAAGGGCACATAGAGAAGGTCAGAAAGGAGGATCTAGACAGGACTAATAAATAAAGAGGACGGATAAAAACATAGGTGGGGAACAATGAGTCAGTACTTACTAAAAGTCTTCTCAAGTTCCTCACATCGTCTAACCTCGCCGACAAACTTCCTCTGAAAGGCGTTCACATTGGGGTTTAACTAAAGCATCAGAGCAGAGGGGAGAGGAAGAGGGTTAATCATGTTCATCTGATGACAATAATTTGCTGTGTGTGACAGTGACTCAAAGCAACCATCAGTTTGCCATCTCCTCTAAACTCAGATGCTGCAGATTCCAAAGTGTCTTCACAAGATAATCACATTCAGTTATAAATAGATCGTTTACTGTGCTCTGGGTTGTTGTGAGAATGAGAGTGATGAATGGGCCTTCACTTGTACTCGACTCTGAACTGTTCACCACAAGATCATGGAGCTTAAACCGAGATAGTAGGTCACTCACGTCCCTGAATTCCACCAGGCCCAGTTCTCCCAGCTCACTGACACAATTGTAGGCCGAGCCGGACTGAAGGAAGAGCTGCACAAGGCATACCTCCTCGCTGCGAAACAAGGAGCCCATAACTGTCTGCAAGGAAACAAGTCCAAATTAAAATTTCACCCCAAATATTTACCAAAGTGCTGTAGTTGATAGTGGAATGAGGGATGTTTTTGAGAATGTGAAGAGACGAGAGGCAATAAACTGTTAGACAAAACACACACAGAGGGCATTTACTTTCAGTTAGGACAATAAAACCCCATCTGTGACAATGCATCAGTGTATAAGTGGAAACTGAAGAAAGAGGAAGCATCAAGTCCTCCTGACTATGACTGTCAGGTGGGTTTTCCAATCTTGCACAGACATGTTGCTACCACTATTACAAGCTCTCAGTTTTTTCAATTGTCAGTTAAATCCCTCTTCAATACACCGACAATACTGATACACTATGATACAAAGGCTCTGCATTAAATCCTACCACAGGGTGTCTGCAGATGTAACCAAGTTAAATTTACAACTTTTTGAGACCTTTTTAATACCACCTTATATGACTGTAAATATGTTAAACCCATCGAATCTGCATTTAAGACAATGTAAGACTTTTTAAGGCATTACGTTTAGAGAACTTAATTTAAGACATGTAAAACTTTTTAAGGCCTTGTGTTAGGAAAGCTCAATTTAAGACATTTTAAGACTTTTTAAGGCCTTATATTAAGAGAGCTTAATTTACGACATTTTAAGACTTTTTAAAGCCTTATACAAAGAAAACCTAATTCAAGACAATATCAGACTTTTTAAAGCCTTATACTAGGTAAGCTTGATTTAAGACATTTTAAGACTTTTTAAGGCCTTATATTAAGAGAGCTTAATTTACGACATTTTAAGACTTTTTAAAGCCTTATACAAAGAAAACCTAATTCAAGACAATATCAGACTTTTTAAAGCCTAATACTAGGTAAGCTTGATTTAAGACATTTTAAGACTTTTTAAGGCCTTTTACAAAGAAAACTTTATTTAAGACTTGTAAGGCCTTATATTAAGACAACTTAATAGACATTTTAAAGTTTTTAAGGCCTTATATTAAGAAAGCTTAATGTAAGCCAAGTGAAGACTTTTTAAGGACCTGTAGACACCCTGTAAAGAAGGACACAATGTGCAGATTTTGTTAAACTGGGTATTGATTTAACTTTGTGGTCATTTTGGAGGATACAGGTTGTGGTGCTGTTAAGCTGTGTTGTGCTATATTTAGACTAACTTCATTGATATAAATAGGGTGGAGGAAATACCACAGCAGCACCAAAAACTACAGCCTCTAACATGACCATGAAGCTGAATTAGCATTCCCTTTCAATGAAACTTAAACATTACAACCTTAATATATTTGCAGGGCAGCTGCTTTAGTGTCAACTGGGTGCACCTATAAACTGTTAATAGACATTTAAATGGAACATGACTTATACATAAGATACAAACACATAAGTGCAAGTATACAAACATATTTCTGTGGGGAACTCCTTAAATGAATAACCTCAGCTGTTCCACCTTTATAATGTCTGGCTCTGTCTTTTGCTTCAATCATCAGAAATAAGGCAGTCACCTAAGTTTCGTTATGAGTGGCACGTCATGCCAGTGACATGAAGCTGAATTAATGGCAAACAAAAGATATAATGCTAACGTTAAAGACAGGATAGTCTAGATTGATTAGGGAAATTCCGTGACACAAAAACAAAAGCAGCACAAGGCTCTGATTCATGTCACAATCTCAGCGGTCCTCACACGATGGGCAGAGGCACAAAACAGCCTCATGTGGGCACAAAATGTCGCTAAATATTAAATACCTCACCTGTCTGCCTCTTAAATCCCGCCGGATTCCAACCCGCTGGGTTTCAGCCTGTCCAGCTCCGTACCGCCTGAAACACCGGTGCCTGCTGACCGGGAGAAAAGCAGACGTGTTTGTGAGAAGTTCTCGGTCCAGACTCCCACTTCCCGTTTGTGAGAGTCACGTTACTGCAGCCTCACGTGACGGTTGACGCGCGTCTCTCAATTGGCCACGAGGGGTCGAAATTTTCGGTTATTTAAATTGCGATAAACAACGTGAACAACGGAGTTTAACGTCCAACGTTAGCTAAATATTAAACTATATAATTATTTCATGCTTAGTTAAATGTGTAGTAGCTGGTTCGCTAAACAGCAGTTACCTAGCAACGCCTTAATGACATTAAGGTGCCTGACTCTCATTAACCCGTGGCTGTGACCAAAACAAGTCTCCTGCTCATTCACTGCTCAACAGTATGCAAGGTAATTAAGAAACCGGAAGTTAAATATTTGCTAAATTTTAAAACTACAACAATAAACACATTATGAGCCAGATTACACTGAACAATATGTCCTGGGTAACATCAAATGATATGAAAATCTTTTATAGTTTCCTTGGTTTAAGATAAAGGTCCCCACCAGACATATTTAAGGACATAAAATAATCCACTTGGAATAATTTGTCTGATATGGTTTTTCCTTTTTTTCCAAGTTTTATTACCTTGTGATTAATTCATAAAATTCCACACACTCCTTCTCCCTCACTGAGAAATATATGAATATGCATTTTTTTAATTGAATAAAATTTAACTGCTGGAAACAATTTATTAGGGAACATTTTTAAATAATTGCTGAAACCCTACTTATTAAATTTGACTTTTTAGTTTTTTGTAATAATTGTAATTATATTTTTCTTCTATTGTTCTTGAACCTTTACTTATGTTCTTATCTACTGTCTTTTTGTCAAATTTTGTCCTTCTGTGTTTTGCATTTCATCTGTATTGTGAAGCACTTTGAGCTATATCTCTTGTATTATTATTATACACTAAAAAGTCAGTTCTTAGTGCACATACAGTGCTGGTGTTAAATTTCCACATCACACTTCTTAACTAGTAGTGATGTCACAAAATCATGCTCTAAGTCCATGACTTAAAACAACGTAAGGTCAGCACAGTAACTTTCCATCTTCAGCAAATTAATGTAAAACAGCTTCCTGGTGTCAAACTGCACATAGATCATTTTGCATAGTGAAGCTCAAACATCCAAGTGACATAACAATAAGCAAAATATGCCCTGGTGTGTATTGGGGGAACAAATTTGTATCACAAGACAGCTATGGACTTAAATGCACATACTGAGCACCTTCACTTTGGTGAAATGTCTGCAACTGACAGAAAAGTGGTAGACAAACAAAAGAATGGCAATACAAAAGATATTTTATTTTATTGTAAAAGGGCAGAGTTGCAACAGGTAAAAGCAATAATGAGAAATGTACAATTGGAAAAAGACAAAAGGTTTAAATGGAAAGAATGAAATAGGAAATGAAACTGAAGGGAGGTTAAACAAGACTAAATTTTTCACAGAGGAACATGAATCTCATACACCTGTTCATTTTCTGCTTGGCTGTACTGTACATCACTACAGATGTATTCTCATCTTAGCCTAAAGATACTGTGATGAAGGAGCGCTACATGAAAGAAGCAAAGCAGATTGCTGTCACACCAATTATAGCCCCCAACAGTGTACTATGACACTTTGGGAGTTGTATTACAAGAAACTTTAGACCCCTCCACACACACACACACACACACACACACACACACACACACACACACACACACACACAAAGAAATTACTACAATAAAATCATAATTGCTGGCAAACCAGACGGGAGCATTTCACTGGCTTCTGTATCTCATTCCACATCATTTACATTTCCGACAATGCCGACAAACACGTTATCCTAACCGTGCTGCTGTGGTTTCCTGTAGCAGACAATTTCATGGGGTCTTGTTACCCGGACACGAGGACTAACATACTAATGAAACAAAGTTAGCAGTGATTATTTTTTTCTTTTTTTCTAGAAATTACAGGTCTGTGTCCAGGATATTGACAGCTCAGACACAGAGACTTGTCGGTCCTCCTCTAAGTTGTCCTCCCTTCATCCTAAATGTTTCCTTTTCTACAAACTGTAAAATTTGAGACTTCTGTCCATTCCTGCCGAGGTCAGGAACTGAGCGTTCTCTCCAAAGGCCACTCCAGTCACCAATCCTGAATGATCTAAAAAATAGAAAGACAAAAGCAAGGTCATAAATCTGCTACTTCCTCAGAGCACGCACCATATGACATGCCTACTGGTTTAACATTTAAAAAGAGCTTTTTCCCCCTTCTCACCTGTGAAGTTGAGGACCTCAGACCACTGTTTACAGATGTAGACACGGATGTCAGACCCTCCAACAGCCAGGTAGGTACCACTCTGGTCAAACACAAGGGACTTCACCTAAAACAGAAAAAAACACAGAGGAATAAGAATCAGAAGCACAGATGGGTGAGTCTTGAGAACTGAGAAATGGCAGCCAAGATAAAAGATCAAACTCAGTGTAAAAAGAATGCATGATTATTCTTTACATGCTCAGTGTTGCAGGGAAATCCACAGACAGGATGTGTGGGAATCAACTTCATATGCTCGCTAAGCTCATACTTCCAATTAACATTCTGTTAGTATCACTTATCAGACTCCTACTTTGACTCATCTTAGTAAAGAGATCGCATGAAATGCATTTATATGCACAGAGTTAGATGTGAATCAATACAACTTTGATGTGTGTACAGTGAATACGAAACTAGAGTCAGAAGGTGCTAAACTTAGCATACTGGCTGTTTCCTCATGCTTCCAGTCTGTATGGCTTTTTCCCATAGACTTGCAATGTGAAAGAGACGTCTGTAAATCAGTGGATACATTTTTTTGAGCATCACAAGCCCCATGAAATGACTCGCTTCACTATCAAGATTTGATCCATTTGGTCCAATAACATTTGTAAAGTCTTGAAGAGCTGCAAGATCAAATCATATTATTCCCATTCAAGCAAACTGAGGGTTAGACCGAAAGCAGCCAGCTCGACAGGCAGGGATCTTTAGTGCCCTTGCTCTGTAGGTGCAGAAGCAGGGCCAATCAACCGGGTAATTGTATTGTATTGCCACTGAGCAACTGTCAAAGGAATAAACGAGGGCCCACCTCCAACACTGTATCCGGTTCCCTTTATACATCCATGTTATAACTATTAGGGATGGACATGAGTGCTTGAATGCAGCACAGAAAGGTAGGCCAAGTCGAACCCCTACCCACATTTTCACTTAGGTGTGCATATTCTTATGTTAATTTTTTTGTTGCAAGTACTTAATAATTTAATTAATCAATTCATTTGTACTTGAATATAGAAATTACTTAAGATGCCCATCCCGAATAACAATTTCTCTCAAGACTTCTTGACGTCACTGCGAAATAGCTTTCACTCTCTATGCTAAGCTAAGCTAAGCTAATTGTCTTCTTGCCAAATCTTTATTCAGCTCAAGGCAACAAAAAGATTTCCCAACCTCGTAGTTGTTGTCCAGGGTGATGGTCTTGAAGTTCTTCAGTTTCCTCAGATCCCACAGTTTCAGAGAGCTATCCTGGGCACCTGAAGAGCAGCACCCGACAATGATGTTAGGGAGTTTAACACTAATAATTAAATGTACGGTCCCACATCTCTTTAGTGCAAAAACAAGGATGCTGCATGTGGGACATAAAGATATTGTAGGTTAATGTGAAGTGCTTCCAACTTTTTGATATTCCTACAAGTTCCTGCGACTTTGCAACCCAATGTAGAACACGTGCACTTCAAAGATTAGCATCAACACTGTGTGAAAGGCGGTTAGTACTTCTAACCTGTGGCCAGATAGTATCCGTTCTCAGAGAAAGCAATGGAGGTGACAGGGCCAGAGTGGCCGGGGAAGTTGGCCACATTGGTGCGCTCCTTCAGATCCCAGATCTTGATTTGGGAATCAGCCGTCCCAGTGCCAAAAATGAGACCATCAGGATGGAACTGAGCACAGGTGAGAGCTGTAGAGGGCAGACAGAAACATTAGCACCTGGAACAAAAGGACTCTTATTCAGACTGCTGCACACAGATGTTAACATAGAGGCACTTACCACAGCCAGCACTTTCATCAGTAACTTTGGTGAGGACCCGACCGGTCTGGATATCAGAAAAGGCCCAGTACTGCAGAACAGGGAGGAAAAAGTTAGCGTGCTTGACCAGCAAAGAGATCACTTGTACTTCAGTATTAAATATAGCTTGAGGTCTGTCAGTACACACACCTGATCCTCAGAGGAACTGAGCAGGTAGTCCCCTGTAGCGTGCAGGGAGAGTCCAGTGACACCTGCCTCGTGGGCACGCACCACCTGGACACAGTTGCCTCCGGTGACAGACCACACACGGATGGTGTTGTCTGGAGATGCAGAGAAGACCACGGACTAAAAGAAAACAGACAGCAAAGGTGTTAGGGGTGGAAAAAAAAGGGCAACCGGTGAGTAAAAATAACGGATCAAACTCAGTATGTGTCTGAATAATTCATTTTCTAAAGAGTGCAGCCACAGGATGGTCTCACTGGAGAAAAATCTGATTATGGTTAATGTGTGAAACAAAGAAAACGTTACCTGGGATGGATGGTAAATGACAGAGGTGACCTTCTTGGTGTGACCCTTAAGTGTTGCCACAATCTGTTCCTCATTCTTGTCAAACACAACCACATTTTTATCAGCTCCACCTGAAACACAAAAGAGGGTCAATATCAAACAAAAGTCTTCAAATGATTTGAAGTGTGTTTAAAAAAACTTTTAAGAATTGGAAGACGCAGCAGAGCATTGGGTGAAATCAGTGTACCGGTGAGAACTTTGTTGGTGTCTGAGGGACACAGATCCAGAGCCAGAATACCAGGGACACTGGCACTATGAAGACCCTGAGGGTATCAAAGAGAGAGCATGTTAACACCCTGTACATCAAGTCAATTTAAACACTGTTTCAGCTGTCTGGTTAAAAGGAAAATCTGACTGAAATCTATACTTACAGCATGTGAGGCCACTTGGCGGTATTTGCTAAGATCCTCAGCTCTAACCAGCTCCTCTGGGACAGTTTTTCCTCTCTGGAGAAATACAGTAAAGCCATTATAAGAGTGTGGGTGTGTACTGCATAGTACCACAACGGTTTACACAGCAGAAATTAGTGTAAAGTAGCTAAAGAAAAGAGCAATATAATACCTTCTTTCTTTCTGTGGTGAGGATAGTTGCTTTGTCTTGGAGCTGCAAAGAGAAAAAAGCATATGGAAACACACCTTAGACCTGCTAAAGAAAAAAGAAAGCTTGTAGCTAAATATTGATTTATGGTGATAAAAGAAAAGAACTCTTACCTTCTGGATGATCTCTGGGGTCATTCCCACCTGTTCACTAATCTCCATGGGCTCTCCACCAGCACCCTGAGATACACAATGCAGACATAAAAGATTGTTGGGAGGAGGTTTGGCAAAAGATTCCGATAATGCATTTCTGTTCAGTATCTTATCAGCTTGAATTACAAGTCAATCACTTACTGCTGCAGCTGGCTGAGAGGCTGGGACTGCCTGAGGGGCAACCAATCCAGCCTGGGGTTTGAGTGTGGCAAGAGCTGTAAAGGGAAATAGACACTGTTAGGGAAACATGCTCTTTTACAATATTATCTATGAGCTCATGTTGCTGCGGTGCAAATGCTGGACAGACTTGATGATCATACATCAGCCATTCTCTGTGATTTACAAGGGGAATTTTATCCTACGATAGGTGAAACACAAACTGCTGTCAACCCACCTTCTCTTGCAGCAGTGACCTCTTTGGTGAGTCGAGCGATGACTCTGCAGGCGGCATCATGTTGGTAGAGGGCATGGGACAGTTCTTGGCGAGTAGTCTGCAGCTGCTGCCGCAGGGTGAAGCTGTGAAGCATAACAGCATCCTAAAACAGAAAAGAGGGGAAGAAAAACATTGTCTCAAATTGATAGTAAAAAATGCAGCTCTAGGCTAGTGTTATATTATAGGCCCTTATACAATTATCAACTTGGCTTTAAAGTCTACTAAATCAATGGTCACTTAAAAATTCTCCATCTGTAGTTTACTACAATAAGACTATTGGTAAAATGGTCTTGAAAGAAAAAAATCACATGTTAACTTAAAACACAAATTAACATTTACAATATTAAGATGTTTAGTTGTAGATTTCTCCTTTACCATCTTACCGTCAAGCTTAACAACACCTACCCACTCATCTTGAAGAGACTTGAGAATGGCAGGAATGCTTGTAGCTGATGGGGCCTTTGGTCTGATAGGATGGGACACTGGAAGAGAGAAAAGATCATGTTTAAAACAAGGAGTCTCTCAACTTCACTCAATTATAGTTTTTGAAGTTCCAAGATCACTTGCTGCAGGGTATGAGAGGAAGTAATACAGTACACTATTAAGCAATTAATTCATTAAAAGGATATCTGTATATGTATAGTTATGGGGATTTGCTGCTTTACTTTATCTTGTGCGACAGTATTCTGAGTATTTGGGGGTTTTGGAATGATTGTTGAATGAAATGAGCAATACTGTGAAATCATTTTGGGCCTTAAATGAGATGAGCAAGTATCTTTTTATCAGACATTTTAAAAATGAAAGGTTATACTGAGAAAATAGTCCTTAGATTGACTGATGATGGAAATAATAGTTAGTTGCAGCCAGGGATGGAAAATTACTTTCTGCCAGCCACTCAGTAGATTGCCATTGTATGTTTGGCTGGTGAGTGAGGCAAAGTAGCAGCCACTTGCATATTTTACCAGCATTTGGCTTGTGCTTATTTCCAACTGTGGTTGCAGCACTTTACATTAATATCCCAATACTGTTTTCAAATGTTACAAATAATACTAAATAAAGACTGACATAAGGTTTTACAGCCTTCTCTCCGTTACCACTTCATCAGGTACACCTTACTATGTGAATAATGCACTGGCATACAACAACTCTGCAGTCAATCCCACGTTCATGTTGAAACTGCTTTGGGGAAGTGTGCATTCATCCATTCATTTTGGAGGGGCTAGTTTGTATAGCATTTGAGCAGCACTGCTAAACTGCATTCGTTTTAGCTGGGTGCAAAATTACGTATAGACTTATAACAGCGTGTAGATCTGCAGCTGCTCCCAGTAGTTTTACCTTTGATATCGACGAGCTGCTCCTCAGACAGAGGTTGTCCGTTCATCGGGTCGGTCCCATTCTCCGCAATGTACTTCTCGATTAGCCTGCGCTCAAACACCTGGTTGGACACCGGGGAGACGCACGGGTGCTCCGGCACCTCGTTGGAGACTAGATAAAATGCAGTTACAGCTTAAAACCCACATGATACCAATGATAGAACAACCACAAACAATACCGATGAACTATCTTGTGTAGGAGGCGGCAGTGCATGGCCGCTAAAGTTAGCTAAATTAGCTAGTAGCATTAGCGCGGCGGCTAGCTAGCCTACACTGCCTCCGTCAAATCAATGAATTCAACTTCACTTACTCGCACAAACCAAAGACATCTTCCAGACGCAGTCCTTACAGTCTCTCCTGAAATTCAAACTATGCTCGTCCCCTGCTTTGATAGTTATTGGCGCTAATGTACACTTTACTTATGTTTCGCTGAAAAAGTAGCACGCTGTCCTTTCATTGCCGCTACACGGGCTTCCTCTTCTTCTTCTACGCTTTCTTACACTCTCTGAGCGCCCGAGCCTCACAGGTCCTCCACTGCCCTCTACCGCCGGAAAACACAACTACTCTGGTCAGTGCAATAAAACTAGTGCTGTAATGATGACAGGACAGACAGAAAAATAATTGACATCAATTTAGACAGTTGAATAATCATTTAAGCCATTTATCAAGGAACTAGAATTACTGCCTCGTGGTTATGTGTCAAGTTTCACTTACAGTTGACATCCATGTCTGTGAAAACACACATATACAGTACAGGCCAAAAGTTTGGACACACCTTCTCATTCAATGCGTTTTCTTTATTTTCATGACTATTTACATTGTAGATTCTCACTGAAGGCATCAAAACTATGAATGAACACATGTGGAGTTATGTACTTAACAAAAAAAGGTGAAATAACTGAAAACATGTTTTATATTCTAGTTTCTTCAAAATAGCCACCCTTTGCTCTGATTACTGCTTTGCACACTCTTGGCATTCTCTCCATGAGCTTCAAGAGGTAGTCACCTGAAATGGTTTTCCAACAGTCTTGAAGGAGTTCCCAGAGGTGTTTAGCACTTGTTGGCCCCTTTGCCTTCACTCTGCGGTCCAGCTCACCCCAAACCATCTCGATTGGGTTCAGGTCCGGTGACTGTGGAGGCCAGGTCATCTGCCGCAGCACTCCATCACTCTCCTTCTTGGTCAAATAGCCCTTACACAGCCTGGAGGTGTGTTTGGGGTCATTGTCCTGTTGAAAAATGAATGATCGTCCAACTAAACGCAAACCGGATGGGATGGCATGTCGCTGCAGGATGCTGTGGTAGCCATGCTGGTTCAGTGTGCCTTCAATTTTGAATAAATCCCCAACAGTGTCACCAGCAAAACACCCCCACACCATAACACCTCCTCCTCCATGCTTCACAGTGGGAACCAGGCATGTGGAATCCATCCGTTCACCTTTTCTGCGTCTCACAAAGACACGGCGGTTGGAACCAAAGATCTCAAATTTGGACTCATCAGACCAAAGCACAGATTTCCACTGGTCTAATGTCCATTCCTTGTGTTTCTTGGCCCAAACAAATCTCTTCTGCTTGTTGCCTCTCCTTAGCAGTGGTTTCCTAGCAGCTATTTGACCATGAAGGCCTGATTCGCGCAGTCTCCTCTTAACAGTTGTTCTAGAGATGGGTCTGCTGCTAGAACTCTGTGTGGCATTCATCTGGTCTCTGATCTGAGCTGCTGTTAACTTGCGATTTCTGAGGCTGGTGACTCGGATGAACTTATCCTCAGAAACAGAGGTGACTCTTGGTCTTCCTTTCCTGGGTCGGTCCTCATGTGTGCCAGTTTCGTTGTAGCGCTTGATGGTTTTTGCGACTCCACTTGGGGACACATTTAAAGTTTTTGCAATTTTCCGGACTGACTGACCTTCATTTCTTAAAGTAATGATGGCCACTCGTTTTTCTTTAGTTAGCTGATTGGTTCTTGCCATAATATGAATTTTAACAGTTGTCCAATAGGGCTGTCGGCTGTGTATTAACCTGACTTCTGCACAACACAACTGATGGTCCCAACCCCATTGATAAAGCAAGAAATTCCACTAATTAACCCTGATAAGGCACACCTGTGAAGTGGAAACCATTTCAGGTGACTACCTCTTGAAGCTCATGGAGAGAATGCCAAGAGTGTGCAAAGCAGTAATCAGAGCAAAGGGTGGCTATTTTGAAGAAACTAGAATATAAAACATGTTTTCAGTTATTTCACCTTTTTTTGTTAAGTACATAACTCCACATGTGTTCATTCATAGTTTTGATGCCTTCAGTGAGAATCTACAATGTAAATAGTCATGAAAATAAAGAAAACGCATTGAATGAGAAGGTGTGTCCAAACTTTTGGCCTGTACTGTATATATCCTTTTTTTATTTTTATTAATCCCCCTGAAGGGATAGTCAGTTTTTTCACTCTTTTGTTGAAAGAGACACACATGCACAAACAGGACCTATACCAAACAGGAGCTATACATGCACTAAGTGGAGAGTTGTCAGAGTGAGGGGGCCGCCTTGGTCAGGCACCCCAAGCAGTTGGGGGGTTTGGTGCCTTGCTCAAGGGCACCTCGGCAGTGCCCAGTGCTCCATGTTTGGTCTGGATGGGGACTCGAACAGACAAGTTCCCAACCCAAGTCCCTGTGGACTGAGCTACTGCCGCCCCATATTAAGTTCAGTATGCGACCAAATGTCTCTCCTTCTGTTCCTGAGATATGACATTAAATGATGACCAGAAAAGAGTTTTTGCAGTGAAGTCACAGTGAAATTGACCTTTTACCCTTTGTATCTCAAATGTCATCACTTCATCATTATATCCAAGTAGACATTTGCATGAAATTTTGTCATAATTTGCGTGTTTGTTTTTTTTAACCAAAAACATGTTTTGCAAGGTCACAGTGACCTTGGATCTTTGACTACCCAATTCTTATCATTTCATTGTTGAATCCAAAGGGATGTTTGTGCCAAATTTGAGAAAAATCCCTGAATGCGTTCATGAGAGATTGTGTTCACGATAATGAGACAGACGCAAGGTCACTGTGACTTTGACCAACTAAATAGGATCAGTTCATTGTTGAGTCCAAGTGAGGGTTTGTGCAAAAATGACTGAAAATTTAATAAATTCCCTCGAGGTTTTCTTAAGATATTGCGTTTGCAAGAATGGGATGGACGTCAACCCAAAATCGCAATGCCTCCAGCCACGACTATTGCCAGTGCAGAGCCGTAAAAATAGATAATATTCTATGTTTACAGCTTCTTAGTTGTTATTATAATGATCTTTCTTCAGTTAAAATTAATATAATATCTTAGGGTTTGCACTTTAACCGTGCCACCGCGATCTTTGGGAAGCAATGGTTAAAGCCACTTCTTGACAGTTTATAATTCATTTAAAAAACGTACAGATCAATCAGTCATGTAAATAATTGTTAGTTACACCCACCCAGAAAGTGCATTGTAGAAAAATCCTCTAAAATGTGTGTTAAAGATATATTTTATTGTTTAAGAGATGCCATTTTGATAGTCCAAAAATATCACAAGCAGCAGTCCAACCTCTTTTGTCACTACAAAGATTTGGTGGTAAGATATTATCATAAACACAAAGTTTACATGTTAATAGGCTATTGCAATATTTGGTGGAACGTGTTATATCTCACATAGGTATTACTACAATAACCTGGAGAGTAAATACACTATCTCATTGCAAAAATCACTGAATTGCAGAGCAGACATCTAACATAATTAATAGTTATTGCAGTTAGGAATGATTAACATGATGGATGGAGAAAAACAGGTCAACTAACTCTCTATGACTGTACAGTACTTAAGAATTCCCTTTTGCAAATGTTTGTATCTCAACTCTAATTTCTACGTAGCCCTATCACATCACAAACATACTCGCACCAACACTCAGCAAATACAGTGTGGATCATACTGGTCCTGAGGGTCTGGAGGTAGGTAACAGCAGGAGATTTCAGGAGCACCATCAATAGTGTCAAGAAAAATGTAACATGAGACTGTGGGGCTCAACTCATGCTTCAGAAAATTACATGGGAAAATGACATGCAATATTGATACCAAACCACTGAAACTAAGCTAGGATGCAAAAGGCACAGGTGAGGTCTTTCTTTATCAAAACAGCTTTCTCCACCTGAGAATCCAATACTGTAGTTTCTCCATCCTACGTTTCCTCTTCTTCCTTCTGCTCCAGTGCTTTGCTTTATAAGAAGTTCAGTTTCTCTGAAGTGTAAACACTGCAGGATTCAGAGGTGTCCGTGTCTAGCGGCAGTGTGGAAAAGAATCCTTGTGATTTGCTCCACCTTTTGTCATTTCCATCTTTCTTGATCTGGAATTGGACACAGTCCTCAGAGGAGTGGAGGCAGTCTGAAGCCCCTGGCATCGAAAAGGAAATCCTTCTCTCTTCCTCATTGTTGTGAAATGTGTTCTGCAAGGAAGGAATGAAAACACATGTTTAAACTAGAATTACCGCCTCACAGTTGTACTCCACCACCAACAATTTAGGTTGCAGTTTATATCTATGTCTGTCCAGACTCATAACATAAGCAGTGAAGACTTTGAAGGACTTTAATTAAAGGTATTAAGTGTATTTTTTAGCAAAATGTGGATGTTTCACACACACCTTCAACCTGGCAGCACATACGAGTATTTTTGCAGAACATTATTATGTCACAGTGAAGTTGACCTTTGATCTTTTGGATATAAAATGTCATCACTTCATTTTATTCTTGGGTGAAATTTGACATCGCTGACATATGAATCCCTGAGTTAAGGCCAAAACATGCTTTGTGAGGTTGCAGTGACCTTTGACCACTAAAATCTAATTAGTTTATCTTTATGTCTAAGTGGTTGTTTGTGCCAAATTTGAAGAAAAAAAATTCAGTCTGTGACATACAAATTCTCACAGCTTAAGAGTAGTATTACCTCAGTATTTGAATTATGACAAGGTGAGCTCCTAGCTGCCAGTCTGTGTGCTTCCTGGTTCTCAGCTCTCAGAGTTCCCACCATAACTGGACTGTAACTCTGGAAATACAAACAGCAGCACACAGTCACATGTGGTTCATGCACAGTCACAATGCTATTTAACAATTTCAAGCAAAGAGACAAAACCTGATAACTCATTTAAAGCAACACTGTGTAATATTCACAGGGATTTAGTGGTGTCTTGTGGTGAGGATTGCAGATGGAAACAAGCTGAAGCTTCACCCGGTTAGAATTCCTTTAGTGCTCATTTCTCAAGAGGGTTTTACGGTGAGACGAATTATCCGCAGAGGTGTCATCCTCCTCCTCCTCCTTCAGTTTCAAATCCTGATTTCTAAGTTTCTGAAAAAGTCATTATTTGAGAGATTTTATATTTTCTTTGTATTTATGCAAAGGTGGTGAATGAATCCTCACAATATAGATCTTTGACACTATGGACCCCCAATTCACTCCATGTGCACACAGTTTTATCTAAAATGGATGGGATTAATGTGGGG